TCTCTCTCTCTCTCTCTCTCTCTCTCTCTCGCTCTCTCTCTCGGCAACTTTTGTATTCTGTATTTTTTTTATCTCCTTTTATTTTATTCCTTTTTATCTCTTTAATTTAAAATTTTGTCTCATTAAACAATAGTAACTATTATTATTTTCAATTAATCTTTTAAAAAGGTGTAATACCCAACATTCGTAAATGAAAGTTCGATAACGCTTTTTACCTTATCTTCTCAACGTGTCCTTCTAATAATTCGAATTGATTTAATTTTTATCCTTTTAATATTTATATTATCTTTCTTTAAAAGTATTTAACTAATTGTTTTCCGAGAATTGGTATTTTTTTTCTTTTTCTTCTTCTTCATTTTTTTTGTCTTTTTTATTTTTTTAATTTATCAATACTTCAGGTCAATGTATAAAAATCGTTGTAACTGCAAACGAGGTACTTTTTTCCTCTCGAAAGAACGAAATAACTTTGTTTTCGATAGAAACAAGCAAATAATAAAAAAAAAACAAAAATATGTATGCGAATAATAATAATAATAATAATATCATTTTTATTGTTATCAAGCGAATGCAATTATACAAACGGTATAATTAAATGTAGCATCTAGAAAATACACTCTTAATTGACTTTATATGTACATTTTATTAATACTCTGTCTATCGCTCTCTAAATAAACTACATATTTAAAAAAAAAAAGAAAAATGTACCTCATATTATGAAAGTAGTGTAAGGACATTTGAAAAAAATTGAGAAACACTCATAATTTTGACATTTTATTTATATTTAATAAAAATTATGTTTCTCCTCAATGTTTTTTTGTCAACAATGGACACCACTTTTATAATAATCGGTTCAATTATATACGTTTGCGCAAGGTTTTACACAAACATTTGATAAAAGAAGATATTTAGAACGTGTTATTTTTTTTCACAGTTACAACGACTTGATATATATATATATATATATAATAATATATTTCATATTTTATAATAACGCGGTATATAATCAAAGTGCATACACACTTTCAAAGTGTCTATCATTTGACTACATAACTATTCGTATATTTTATTTTTAAGCTATATTTTTCGGTGTAGTTAGTTCAATTAAAACAAAATAATAATATATGAATAAAAAATGCAATTAAAAAAGAAAAAAAATTTCTAAACAAAAGAAAATACGTGAAAAAGTCTCTCAATCATCTCTAGTCGATCATCGTAGAAATATTATTTATTACACCTATACGTTTGGTATGTTGGCATTTGAAATGCATCTAATTTCTAATTCTTGTAATACTTTTAATTATTGTTGTTAAATCGCGTCAACTTTCTTCACCTGATTCGTTTTGAACAGATTAAAATTATTGTTCAATTTTCAATAATAAGCAAAAACTGTTAGTTAATCGTCGTTAATTATTAGTATATACGTAAATGTATGTATGTCTGTATATTATATTTATATATCTATATCTATAGATATAAGTGGAATGACTGCACAATGGAATAACATATCTTAAATTAGAAAGAGAGATTAGTCGAAGCAGTCAGGTACGTTTTATATTCTTTTTTTTTAATCTTCTTCCTCCTTCTTCCTCCTTCTTCCTCCTTCTTCCTCCTTCTTCCTCCTTCTTCCTCCTACTTCCTCCTACTTCCTCCTTCTTCCTCCTTCTTCCTCCTACTTCCTCCTTCTTCCTCCTTCTTCTTCTCTCCTTTCACCACCTCCCCTTCCTGCTCGTCATCATCGTCATCACCATCGTTGTCATCGTTGTCATCATCGCCATCATCATCATCATCATCATCATCATTATCATCATTATCATCATCATCATTATCATTATCATCATTACCGTCATCATCGTCATCGCCATCATAATCATCATCATCTTCTACTACTTCTTCTTTAATGTTTTTCTTTAACCACATTTCCCAGCATTAAAAGTAGCTGAAAATAACGTTAGACGTTAATAGAATAAATTCATATTGCAGCACCATGTCAAGAGAATTAAAGTAAGGGTACAATTCCTATAATGTGTAAGTATATATATATATGAAAGCATATATCACATATGTGTGTATATATATATATATATATATATGAACGTATGACAAATTCGAATGCGCTCGTCTACTTTGACAGAAGTCAGACGAGAGAACTTTGATAAAAGTTCGCAACATTGTCGTAGGCCTCAAATCTCATATCTGTCTTTGTTTATAAAAAAAAAATGACGATGGATATAATTGATCATCGTTTATCATATTATTATAATAATACCGGGAAGCGAATATTTCTTCCTTCTTTCTTTTTATATTATTTTTTGTATTTTTATTTTTTATCTTCTCTTTCTTTTATTTCATTTTAAAAACGCAGCCCCCCACCGCCCCATTTTTATGTGTATGTGTGTATAACGATCTTAATTTAATGGAAGGCAAAATATTTGCTTCAATAGTCCCTTTCTAGGACTCTCGTCCTCCACGTCATCGTAATCATTTTCATCATAATTGTTAGTAGCGACAATCGCGTTGTTATTATCCGTTTTGTTGCTGTTACTGCTGCTGCTGTTGCTGTTATTGTTACCGGAATCATAAGTGACATCAGTAATACTAAGAGAACGGGAGCACATCGGCCTTTCGTATCGAAACGGGAAGATTGGCGGCAGATGATACTCGTTGTAATTATTGTCGTTCTCATTTTCCTGCGAATAGGTCATTACGAAAACGTCGTTATGATATCCCTGATTTTCAGAACTTATACGAAGGAGGGGATCGATTCGTAACTTTGACAATTTGTTCGACAATTCTTCCATGTAAAACTCTTGCATTTGTTGTTGCTGTTGCTGTTGCTGTTCTTGAATGTGCCGTGGCATTACTATGAGCGGCTCTTGTCACACACAATCCTCCAGAGACATTAATAACGGATTCACGTATTCGAAACCCTCAAACTCGCTTTGATCAATCTTATCAATAACTCTCCTAGAAAAATATAAAAGAAACTAATGTGAATAAAATGATATTATTATAAACTGGTTATTATAACAATAAACTTGGTGAAAGAATTATAAAAATATAATTTAGACCAATATGGTAATAATAATGATGTACAAGTTTACGCAACTCAAAATATAATTATTTTGTTACCCTGAGAAAAGTCTGTATAAATGAGAAATAGTAGTTTCATAAACTAACTTCCAAATGAATTTCATCAAAGGTAAAAGATAATGAAAAAACTTACGGATCGTCCGGCGTCAGATGTACTGGTTCATCGGTGAACTCTGGCGGGAAGTTAGCCAAATCTCGGTCAGAATCCAAGCGTGGTTTATATGGCGGCGTGACTTGCTTATGTTCAAGCTGCAGATTATCGATTAACATCATAGCTCGTTAGAACTTGTATATTCAAAGAGTCACCTATCTATTCTTCTCAATGAAACAGAAAGAAAGAGAAAAAAAAGAAAAAAAGTGACATACCATTTCCCAATCGATAGCCTTGAAGAAAGAATGTGTGACTATATCGATAAAAGCCGAAGGCCTCTTCCCGCAACCGAGTCTTTCAGCGGGATCCTTGCAAAGGAAGCCTTTCAAGACGGAAGCAGCCTTTACCGATAACGATCGCGGAATACGAATCGTCTTTTGTAATATTACTTGGAAGAGATAATCCTCAGTATTCTGATCGGGATTCTCCGAAGCACCAGCTATGTCGAAAGGACTACGACCCGCAAGCATTTCGTACAATAAAACGCCAAGAGCCCACCAATCGACTGAAAAGCTATAATCCTCTCCACGCAATATCTCTGGAGCTATGTAGTTAGGTGTCCCACAGAAAGTAGCAGTAGTGTCACTTTCTCGGACACCCTCTTTGCACATTCCATAATCCGTTAACTTGACGTGTCCTTCATGATCCAGCAATACGTTATCCAGCTTTAGATCTCGATATATTATACCTGTCGAATCAATTTTGTTTATTATTTTTTTATCCAATAATTCCTAAGACATCATTATATATACAGCATCCCTAACAAATTTCCTACAATATATTTTTTAACTTATTATATAAAGTGAAGCAAAAGTCGCGCATTAATCTTTTAAACAATTAGGTAAAATTTTTAAAACAGTTCACCCTACAGTGCACGACTTCTGCCTCGTCCTGTATATTATTATAATAAACTATACAACATATATATCCAAAATAAAATTGATCCAATTGCCAACAAACCTTTCTCGTGTAAGAAGTTTAACGCAAGACTAATTTCAGCAGCATAGAAGCGTGCATGCTCTTCCGGAAGTCGACGCTGCCTTTGCATGTGAAACATAAGATCGCCACCTCGGACGAATTCGATAACAAAGAAGAGTCGCGAGGGTGTTTGGAAACACGAATGAAGGCCAACGAGGAAGGGATGATTCGAGGCAGTCTCAAATACATGCTTCTCCGTTTGCACCCAGTCAATGTCCTCGTCATCTGTTACCAATGCCTTCTTAATCACCTTCATCGCATAAATCCTCTTGGTACGTTTAAGTTCGACCATGAGAACTTTTGCATATGAGCCACGACCGATAACCCGGATGAGTTCGAAATCGTTCAACGAGTACTGTCTCTGCATATCGTTTGAATTATCAGCCCCGGTACCCGTGTCCAGTGCCAATTCTTCCCCTTCGTAACTGCTGGTTCCTATTTATTTTCATGTCATACTTTTAATAAGAATTATTCATTCAATAATATCTTCAGTAATACGCAAGATTTTCTTGTAAATTTTTATATTAGGATTGTTTAGATTTCTTACGATTACGTGAGTGCTCCTCGACGATCGGCGACTCAACAATCTCGTCTTCGAGATGAGCAGCCGGACTGCAACGGAGAGAATCAGGCTGTTGTTGATCTCCGTTCCTGTCGATCGTCTGGGATTCCGTGCTCTGCAATTGTTGTTGTTGTTGTTGTTGTTGCTGCTGTTGCATGCTCAAACAGGGCTTCCGCACCACCTTGTGACATTTCTTGTGTACAAGAAGCTTGCATTGGATACACTTGAATCCCTGTCGACCCAGTCCCCAGATCCGATCCTGGCAGAACGCGCAGAACGCCCGCTGAGAAGGAAGTCAAACAAGGAAGTTAGTTATCGGTAATACCTACACCCATATTGGCCCTTTTTCTCTTTCCATTTGTGTATTTATTTTTATCCATGTGTGTATATACATGTGTGTGCAGATCTTTCTCTTTTTTACTCACACGTATATACAAATATTTTATTTTCAGCATCTCCAAACCATCGAAGAAATACTTATTAACATAAATTCTTCAGCCAACTGTATGATCAATTAAATAATATTCAATAACGTATATATTTATATATAATACATAGGCGGCAGCGATTACTATATATGCCAAAACAGCGAGAAGTATTAAATATTTGCGTCTAATTTTTTGTAGAATGAAGAGAAAAGAAAAAAGAAAGAAATGAGAAGATCCTCATCCTGCGAGAAAGCTCATCGACGAACTTTCACTAGCCAGCAAGTTTCCTTCTCCCTCTTTCCTGGTATGTCGTTTGATCATGTTCAACGTGAATGGAACAAAATTCTATTTATATATAAAAGCTCGATGGTGATTGGTATGTATATGAGAGAAGAAATATATACATATGTATATACATATATATATGTTTATGCATATATATTTCGAAATAATAATAATAATGAACAATTTTAATTATAAAAAAAATATAAACTATGTATATAAATTGGTGTGCTTACCCGATTGAAGCGTTTCGCCTGAAATATATGTCCATTCACCCGGTACAGCTTCCTCCACCTACGTGCTCCGCGTCTGTATATGCTTCCTTTGGAAAATGAAACCAAATAAATGTCACAAATGATTGAAGGAACTTTATGGGGGGAGAGAGGGGAGGGATTTAGTAAAGTAACAAGTGACAGGGTGTACGATGATTGGAATACCTGTAATATTCGCTTTTGGTTTTTTCCCCCTCGCATATAATACATCGAAATAAAAAAAATAATTGAAATAAAAAACAAGAATTAAATCATAGTGAGAGCTAAGCATGACATCGTAACAATCACGCACACTGAAACATCCAACAACACAACAATGACAACAACGCATAGCAACAGAAGTGGCAACAGAAATGCTAAAATAAATGATCGTGTGGGTGTATTAATGTAAATTCTTATGTAGGTGCATATTTATGTGTGGTTCACGTATGCATGTATGTGTTATGTGTGGTTTCATGGATTTGCTATACTCATGTGATTATGTGTAAATGATATGTAAAATAATTAAAAATGATTTTAAATGTGTAACAAAGACAATTCATTTTTTTCCAAGCAATTAATTGTTTTTGTTTCTTTCCTCTTCTACTTTTCACACTTTTCTTTCACGTACTACGTTTGAATGTACATTTTAATCACATATTAACGTATAAATAAATCCAAACGTTTCTAACCTTGTTGGACAACATGAAGAAAAAGTCGGATTAGATTCAAATGTTCCATGCTTTGATCAGAATAACCGCGTGTTTTAAAACAGGACTCTACATCGCGAGAAAGATGATCGCGTTTACGCGTAAATGTAAGTTAAGAAAATATATATGTAAAATACAACAAAAGAACGACAACGACATACGACGGAAAATTTGTAAACATCTCTATGTGTATTTCGTCGTCCTCGAGATTAGCGCGAAATTTTCAAATATTTTCTCTACGTGCTTGATAGCTTTCATTTTCTCGAGAAAATATTACTTGGATATAAACATAGCGTCTGAATTAAATTACTTGGCACAGAATAAATTTTCATAAATTTCGTACATATGTAAGAATTGTACGTTTCCTCAATTTTGTTTTCTAAAAAATAACTTTAGAATCTAATGTTATCTTAAATCATAAAAATTAAATTGGTATACAATAAAAGAATAAATTTAGTAGTAAAAAATATTTGCTAACTAAAAAAGGGATTCCTATGTGTAATCTTTTTTGTTACTGCACACCAATTGAATCTACATGACTTGCAACAAATCTAAACTTTAGACTAAAGATATGCTGCTTTACAAAAAAAAAAAAAAAAAATAATTCTGCTAACAGATTTACAGAAGATGTAATCAAAGAAATTTATTCGTTGCCAATAATTTGATTACGCATTTTATATACATAATCGTGGACGAGAAAAAAGAAATCAATATGACGATGACGATGACAATGACGATGAAAATGACGATGGGTTATAACGATGAATTAGTAAATGATTCATCATTCGGATCGATTTACAAATTTTCCATCGATGGATAAATAAATCCGAGAATACACAGAAAGTGTCCGGGGTTGATCCATTTTATTGTCGTTCGTCGACCAACTCGCTGGCTAGTTTACGTATCAAGACACGATCGAAAGCAACACTACTATAAAACACAATAACGAGCATCGATATAATATTCTAGGTTTATTAAATACTGATTGCATTTAAATGCAACTAAACAAACTCACTGTCTTCTCCTTGACAAGGCATTCCTGGGGCGGGCGGCACATTTGGAAAAACTGAAACAAATAAATTTACATGATGACATTTTATTTTTCACGCGAAAGTACAAATATCTTAAAATTATTTTCTAAAATATTTCTTGTGGTTAGACATCTTCAATATGGGAATAAAAATTTTCAGAATTTCTTTCAAATCAATAAAACAAATTTCAAACTACTCTCCCGAGAACATCACAACTATTTAATATAACGCAAGAAACTTTTCACGTGGACACATTCCAAAATAAAAATCCAATAAAGCCAATAGAAATATTGAAGAAACATCTGAAGTTAGAACAATAATGTTAGGTTTATTTTATTAAATTAATTATCGTTGTGCGTTGAAATTTATGTATGTGCATTTTATGAATCTTGTATCGTTTTCATAATTTTAACAAACATTTTGGTAGAGTCGAATAACCCGAAGAAGATACTTCATTATTCATACGTAAATATTTTCTAAAAGAAGGATAATAAAAAAAAAGGAAAAAGGATATGAAATAATAATAAATTATTCGCGTATGTATAGTTAAAAAATAAATAATTTCATGATTGAGAGAGCACTTATTTCGATGCTCCTGTCTGACGAGCTCCTTGACTCATATTTTATTCGGTACTTCGCGTTTAATGCATATGTATACCTTAACTCTGGTAACACTACACACCATAATAGTAAATATCAATGAAGTAAGGGTCTCCAAGAAGTAGAGGAACAAGATAGATGATAAAGAGTGACGAAGATTCTAAATTCAAGCTTGCCTACTATATAACACGTGTGTAATAAACGTATGTCTATACCATACACACGCATACACACACAAACACACATATATATATTTATCTTTTTTAGTTTCGCTCGAATAGCAAATTTCTCTATCGGTCGCAAACACTCGTAATTGATTCAGTGCATTTTTTCTTGTTATCTCGTTGTGTGCAAGCGTTCTGATTCAATGATTTGAAAAGCAATAATGTATTATATGCAATAACGCGTTTTAATATACCGCACGACTAGTTTTTCAAGTAACTTTGAATAAATATGCATTTTTCCATTCTCTATTTTTTCTTTTATTCGATACTTAAAAATATCGAAAGAATTGGATCCCATTTATTTGTCATATACACATACTTGTGTGTAAATGTGTGTGAAAGGTACGATCGAGCTAGCTTACTTTGTTCCACGAATACTTGTCTTTTATAAATCGTTTGTTTTTTATTCGTTAACGTAGAAAGATAATTACACGAAAAATAAAGAGAGAAAAAAAGATCGTCTCAAAAACATTATAAAATGCGAAAGAGGATCAACCGAGTTTTACTTACAAAATAATAATTATATTCTTATTATATCTTACATAAATGCAAATACTCTTGGCGAGACCAATTTTTGATCATTTAAAATCAAATTATATTTCTCTAAAAAAATAAAATATTATTCCAATCCAAATATATTAAACAATCAAATTGATATCAATTTGAAATTTGAATAATTCTAAAATATATCTCTGTGTATAGGAATTTTTAAACTTTGCATTGCAAGCCAATATCAATTATTTCAAATCTACAGCGAGAGCGAGTACAAATACTTTTGTGACTCACTGTATATATATAACTATATATATATATATATATAACAAGAGAAGAAAGAAGGTTAAGTGTCGTTGTCAGAGTAAGCTGCTGGACACGGTCGATGGACGAATCAAGAATGCATGTATATTTATTAAGCTAGAATACACCGGTCCTCACCGGGTTTAATAAAGCCACGAATATAGAACTCGCGTTAAGTCGATGACGCAGTCGTTAACAAGGATGTTGCTAACGTGTTCATGACTATGTTACGAAAATGATCAAAGCGTTGTAATAACTTCGAGCTTTGTATCCATGCAAAAGGGAACGAAAGATCATTGATTTTTCATACCATTATACAGGATATTTCAAAATATGTGAGCGTAACTTTAAGAGTAGTTTCATATACGCTTAAACGAAGACAAAAAGTTCATATAAAATAATCTGCTCTTTATGACCTTGTCTCCGAATTAGAATTTTTGTATTATACGTGTTGTTAACATGATTTCCAGAGAAACTGTTCGAAGTGACTACCTTCGTATTCAATTCAGGGGCTCTTATGACTCACTATACATGCAATTTGTTATACATATTTAATGCGACCTAATTGCACTTCACTTTCTTCGTCTCATCTTGACACACACACACACACACACACACACATACAGACATATATACGTACATGTTCATTGTATAGTCGTGTAATTAAAACAAAGCTTCGTAACGCGATTATTAATTTATACTTTGTCGAAAAATCAAAGCTGGTATGTGAATCCTATTCATTTGCTGACTGGAATATTCCGGATTTCGTGTGTTACGAGATTTCCAATAAATTGATCAAACGACGGATATAGAAAAGTCCATTCGAGAGATCGTTTATCTGTCCTCTCTTTTCTATATTTATGCTTTGTTTATGTGTACGTGCGTGTATGCTCGTGTATGGAATCTGACTGACATTTCGTTCTATTTTTATTTAACCCTCAGCGGTGATAGGTAACTATAGGTCACGAGCTTTTGAAGGATCGTTACATTTTCATGAATTTTACATACAACGATTTACTCAAATTTCAATGTGCACAAAATAATGTAATAAAATAATTTCAAGGAAGTTATTAATATTTTACGAAAGGAGAACAGAAAATGTTAGAACGTTCTAGAATGCAATAACAAATTTTGAAAGAAAAAAATGATATATAAACTGTCAAGCGAATTGGGAACAAGTCGTTGTACATACAACAGTCGTTTAGAATATAGATCTATAAAAGTATCATAATTATTTTTTGTTTCATTGTCAAAATTAATTTTAATTAATATCTGAACTTCTTCCCTTAGAATCCTAGAATATTTGTATTTCAGCCCTTTTCCTTTTTTTTCCATATATTACACATTTCTAATAAGCAAAATTGCACACATATAAGAGAAAATAAGTTTTAAAAAATATAAATATATAAGTAAATTATATTGCGAAAAATGTTCACACGTTTATTTGACTTTTTTCTCAAGTTTTCCTATCGTCTAATCGTACGAAGAATCTTATCAAATAAAATGTTTAGTTAGATACGGGGTCGCCGCACGAGTAATAAAACTCGATAGTAGTGGAGAGAGGGTTTGAAGAAAACAGGGAGAAAAGGAAAAAGGAGAAAAAGGGAAAGGTAAAAGGAAGAGAAGTGTCTTATACAGCATACAAGCTCGAAGATGTAACAAAGCGAGGTGTACTCGCGAAGCGACACTATTCAAGCACAGACCTCTTCTTGGCGGTGGTAGCCTCGAACTTTAACCGGGCAAAACACGATAGAAAGACAGAGAAAGAGAAAGAAAGCGAGGGAGAGAGAGAGAGAGAGAGAGAGAGAGAGAAAGAAAAAGAGAAAGAGAGAGAGAGGGAAAAAAGGATCGTTTTTTTTCGACGACAATTTATACATGAGTGAGTTGAAAAGTTTTAAACTTAACATAGATACAATGTTTTTCCGTCCAACTCACTTTTATTAAAAAGAAAAAAAAAATAAAAGTATTTTTTTAGGGAGAAGATTAAGGCTCAAAACTTTTCAACTCACCCTCGTACTTATTATGCATGATAACTATAGGAAACATACATAACAAAGTTTCGACAAATACGTCATGGGAAAACAATATGTTGGAAGGTCTCTTTCAGATCGTTCAAAAAAAAAGTTAAGTTCGTTTACCAACTCGATATTCCGTCTCTGTATTCTTTATTTAGTAGTTTTCTCTAACTCTCTTTTTTTTTAAACTAAACCAACAAACTTGTTATCATTGTAAAAAATGATAGAATGTAAATGTACGTGTGGTACGTGAATTGTATGAAAATTGTACAGGAAGTGGAAAATTTCATAATTTCTTGATCATACCTATGCACGTATATATGTATGTATACTTAAATATTTAACAGTCTAACGCATTCCAAGGTAAAACTCATTCGGGTAAAGTTCTAACTATAAATCTTTAACAAGAGGAATATAGCATTAGTTATTATTCTAAAGTACGGATCGTTTCATGTCGCAAAACTTTGAGATTAAGAACATAAAAAAGAGAAATGTTTACTACTTGTTTTTTATCGTTCGCATAGTGGTGTCTTTTTAGCACTTTTATAAGTTATGATCGTCGGGGATGCAAGTTGCAATTTTTTTTTTCAAACTTCCACGGTTTTTTAAACATGTACTTTGATACTTAAATTGTTGTAACCATAAAATCACATAACTTGTTTAGGCATTAAAATTGTGTAAAATATTTTTTAAATACAATTAATAACTTAGGCCTTTAAAAATCACATAATCTTATTCCGTTATGTTCAATAATTATTAAGATTGAAATTTAATTTAAGAATAAACTTGATTATAAAAATCACAATTTGAATCCCTAAAAATTCAAATATCATCGCAATTTAAATTTGCTCCAAAATAATATGCATTGAGCTATAGAAAAAGAAAAAATTAAATGAAGTATCGACTAATAACGAGGTAATAAAAACTAACGTGTCTTTTTTCTAGTGACATCGTGTCGCATCAATTTGAGCAATTAAAGTAACATCATCGATGTCTGAGTGTCACTTTAAATTCTCTCCAATTTAATACACACGATCATTCGTTTTTCACACATATACATATAGATGTATATTTACGCATCAAAAAATAAATCGACAATCGTTTCGAGTTCGCGTCACCGTAAGATTCACAAAATATTATTTAAAAATAGCTATATTTTTAGTTTAACGCAACACTAACGAGATTAGATATCATTGAAGATTAATCGGTAATCTTCGACCTCAAATCGATTAAAATCATGAAGAAGAAAAAAAATGATTAATATACAAGGGGATTATATAATCAACTCAACTACAATTTTCTTCTCTATTTATAATACTTATAAATAAACAATGATTTAGAAAAGAAAAGATAGAATAATATCTAAAATACTAATTTGCATGTTAGAAAGAAATTACAATT